CCTGCAGCGGCAGCGGCGCCACAATTCATCCCCCAGCAGGTCCCGCGGAACTAGAAGTCGAGAACAGCTCTATGGATAAGAAACGAAGAGAGGAGGAAGAAGATAACGCAGGGAAAAAAGAAGGAATAAGAAAAAAGGACCGTGCGATTAGGTAGGATCTGACGACGCTGATGCGACCGGCGCACACTTCGGCCGGCGCACCGTCCGGAAGCGTTTTCCTTTTTGTTTTGGCAAGTGGGCGACTGGCATCACGATCTGTGGTTGTTGTGCTCTTTCTACGGAAATCGTAGTCAAGTGATAGGTAGCGAAAGAGAACTATCAAAGATATGGCGCATGGGAAGTTAATCCAGACTGAAGAGCCTGTCACTGCAATGGAGAAAAATCAGTCATTCAGCACAGCCATGAGCGAGCAACAATATTTAAACAGAATTAAAAAATGGTGCGACTGCAATATATCTTGTTGTGTTGTATTGAACTGACCAGTGTGGGGTATATATAGAGTACCACATAGAAGAGGCTTGGAGCACGACTAAAGATATTGTGGGTTTAAACTTACTCTATATCTATCTCCTGGTCTCTATCCTAATAAAATGTATACTTCCGGCATTCCTCCTCGGCCGTAGCGGGGGTGAAGCAGACAAATGCAACTTAATTTGAAGTATTGCGTTTTGTCTTCTCCGCATCGCCATCATGAATTGCGTTTGTAATGACCGATAGGTCATCACCTAGGGCAATGAATGTCTATTCCCTCCCACAATCACGACGAGAGTGGCGTAGACACTAGTGATGACATGGACATTGTTGACTGGAGCCGTTGTCGATGTGTACTTGTAGATGTAACCCTTTATGTTGATGTCGAGTTAGCCGATCATGTTGATGTAGCCGTGGTCGAGGTAGCCATGGTTTATTTAGTCGCATCATCGACGATGAAGCCGCCCAAAGTCAGAGGCGCACAAAAATGTGCTATGATGAAGTTGCAGACATACACGGTGCATGTTGCGGATGTTGTCGTCAACGATGAGACCACCAAGACCGGAGGAAACCCATCGAGCATACAAACGCTTTTCCCAGCGCCCGTGTGGCCACGTAGGGTCGTCACTGTGCAATCGTGTCGTCCGAGATGACGTGGTCGGGTGTCGTCGCTGTCATGCGGTCATTGCCGTCGTCGTCGAGGGCTTGCCTTGCAGTTATACCGTCAGAGGACGCCAGAAATGTCTTTCTTGCGAACCATAAGGATATGGTCCATGGCCAGCGGGGAAGCATGCTCGAGGCACTGACTAGAGTTTTCTGTTCCTTCTCTTGGATTTCAAATGGTACTGGTAGAGCGAAGTGAGCATCAACCTGCCCTGCCCGGAAGAAAACAAAAGGTGACCACCGGACTAAAGGCCTTTTTTTCCCCATCTGATTTCACTTGCACAAACGCAAGGATGCGCACTTCCCTAACGATGTAGTACTCAAGAAAAGAGAGAGAAAAATGGCCATCGTAAACTTGTGGGAACAGCTGCGTGCACTCTGGAGGCGACTGGCCTTGAGGGTTGAGAGAGAGAGAGGGGGAAAGACAAGAAAAGGTCGGTTGACCGAGAGCTGCGGCAAGGGAAGGAGCCCGTCCCCTCCCTGCAAAAGAAAAGAGAAAAACGGAAGGAGCCCGTACCGTACAGGTACAGTGATAGTCTTTTGCACGGAAGAATGCCGTTACGAGGGTGCGCCGCGGAATCCGCGAATGCATTCCGCGTGCCAAGAATCCAGCCGGAGCAAGGAGGGCATGAGATGTACGGCATGTACGTCTTCCCCGCCCCTTCTCCTCCTCGTCTCTCATCTCACAGGATACGTAGCACGTACTACTCCCTCTCTGTTTCTAAATACTCCCTCCGTCCGAAAATACTCGTCATTAAAATGAATAAAAAGAGATGTATCTAGAATTAAAATACATCTAGATACATCCCCTTTTATCCATTTTGATGACAAGTATTTCCGGACGAAGGGAGTACAAGTTTTTTTTAGAGATTTCAACAACGATAACAAGGACTATATACAGATGCATATAAACATATTAGAGTGTAGATTCAGGAAGCCAAGAGGAAATACTCCGGGAACCACATGTCCTCTCTTGTTAGGTACAGTTTCACGAAGCCAAGAGGAAATGAACACGCCCAAATGGCTATCTAGTCTACCACATTTCCGCCCCATAGCCTTATGTCGCTACAGCACAGAGCGCGCACACAGCCACACACACACACACCCTTGATCACTTCCATCCAACAACCTGCGGGAAGGCTGCGCCGATTGGCAAATACGGGCAGTCGTTACAAATAGTAGCGCCTTTTTCTCCTCAGCCCGACAGAAGCCTCTTCGTTGGAGGTGATCAGGCGGGGAGCTCATCAGTGGAACCAACATCTGACTATTACCATATCCAGGTTGCAAGATAACCCACAAGAACAGAACAACTTGTGACCATGTACACGAGTCAACAAAAACTATTAGGATATCCAAAATCGCAAGGCCCGTAAATTACAGGAGCTTCAAGTCTCGTCCGTGCGCCACTAAACCAGACACAAGTTACCGCTCGTTGCTTTACACAGTTCAGTAGTCTGTTCGTCGACAAGTTCAGATGAAGAGACGTTGTGCATGACTGAAAGTTCTGTGGACGCCGTCGATGTTTGGAAGGACACACCGTGTTATCAAGATGACAAACACATCAGGTGAGAAAGCACAAATGGACTGTTTGTAAGTACAGAAAGCTATGATGTACTCCTTCTAGAGAACCCATCGCGAATGATCAATCTCTGTTTTGCTTCAAGAAATGGCTTTCGACTCTCAGAGGGTCAGAATGCTGAAGATCCGAGCAATACAACAGAGGATGTGCTGGAGACATTCAGGACAACTCTTCGAGAGCCATAAGTTCCATCTCCGAAATTCAATCCTGTAGTGTTAGCAGTTCAATGGCAATATAGTTTGCAGGGTATTTCAGCATAAGCAAATCAGGCAACAGCAAACATTGGTGGCAGATACGCCATCTGGGATCCATCACAGATCAAATGACAGAGGTAACAGCCGTATTGGCAGCATTAAGAAAAATGGTGGGGCTAACATGATCGGCGTCATGAGAACAGGCTCCAAAAATCTAATAAGACATAAGTACCTAAAGGAATAGATAAAATGAACATAAAATTGGTGTTCTCTTACCAGACCCTGCCATTGAGACAAGGGAGATGTCATGAAACTTAAGCATAAACAAGTTACTTGTCTGATTTCAAATTGATTGTGGTACTATCTGTTATTCTGTAGTCCATGGCTTTAACCCAGAACTGTTGGTTATAATTTAAATCCTAGTCATCAGTCCAACTCTGACATTGATCTATTTAGGCAGGCCTCCTTACTTCAGAGAATTTTTTGAAGGTGGAGTATAAGCACAAATATAACCCAGGTGAAAATGCAAAACATGAAGATTTAGTGTTTGAATACCACTTATCCATAAATTATACGAACGTACAACAGAATCTGAAGGTATGATGCCACCGCATTAGTGACATCATAGGAGATAACAATCAATCCTAACAAATCCTATACCACCATAACAGCCAGATACACTAACAGACATGCCATTTTTATCATGCTCATCCCTCAGTTTCTTGAAGCGGCGAGCTTACTAGAAAAGCAGATTTAATGCTACATATATATTCTGGTGGAAGTTTTTCTTTAAATGTAACTACACACTTGATACTCGATAATCTGTACCATGAAGGTGAAGATGTCTAAATTTTTCATATTTTAGTAAACCAAGAACATCACACCAATATATACAAAAACATAGATATAGATAATCAAAAGAATAAGGCTGATATGAATATTCCATAATACAAGATCATGTGCTCTTTGGATACTTGCAATCTTGTAGGTAGTTGTAGCACACCAGTGCATTCATAAAATATGGTAAGGGGGCAGAAGGCATGACCTACATTTCTCAACTTCCTATGGGTGAATAACATCAAAGATGCCAAATTCAAAGGGTGTGAGCTTTCCGTCTTTCTCGTGTCTGTCTCCTAATAATAACAGAAACAATAATAACCATATGATAGTCCTTTGCATTGACCTTTAGTATGGGCGCATTCTGTTATTTTCTGTCCCATCATTTTTGTGTGACAACCAAATTAGGGTTTCATGACTTACCGCTATAATATTCTTGGCATAGCACAGGAACTAGGCTTCATGGGTCTTCGAGTTGCAGCTTCATGAACAAAGCCTCGCTCATTCAATCATCAGCTGTACCAAAAAGATAGGTATGTTCACCTCTAGTGCTTATTGCTACTGTTCGCTAGATGTAATTCCTGATTAACAGTTGCTTCTTTAAGTCTTAGTTGGTGAGATTAAACATCAAAAGATTCAGCCACCATGGATTTCATGTGCTTCATTTTACTGATCATCTTGCACTTACTGAGTTGTATTACCATTACAAATTATTCTGTGCTACTAAACATTTTGCTGATTGCCTACTGAGCATGTGGTAGTTGAAGCACATTGTATCAAACATCAATATGAATAGGATTAGGGAACAGAAAAAGATGGTAAGGGGTTTGTTAGGTCTGGAACAAGCAAAGTTGCTTCATGTCTTATTAATCATCCTATATGGGACTTCTCTACACGGAAGAACAGACAGCCACATTGCATAGCTTAAAACTCCACGGCTCTACCTCTTTTGCAACAACCAAAACAGCCAGGCCAACTGCAATTTCCACATCCGATCGAATTCTATCTGCTGCTGCTGCATTCCTGTTGAGTCATTTTTTCCCATTAGTAAGTGCACTGCAAGTAATTACCATTTATATTTCAGCTCAAGATCAGTCCATATCTAAGAGGCTGCTGTATTTGTTATTCGATTTCCTCTTGCATTTGATTCTGTGTCAAAATCCTGTTCTTCAATGCATTTCTTTCTGTGCTCATCCGTTTTCATATTGTGTTGGTTCTAGATTTGGATTGAAGGTGCCAGGCACTGTTTCGTCAAAATGATTGTTGGAGGTGACTATTTTGAAGGTTCCCATGATCACAATCTCATGACAGGATCTTTGACCCATGATTCTTCTCTGGCTCCTAAATGCAACGACAACACAAATATTGAGCTACAGAGATTCAAGGTGCAGTCGTTTTCTGCAGATATCCTTTCTGATTCGACCAATCTTTCTTCTGAAGCTGCAAGAGCGATCAACCACCTCCAGCATCAACTAGGAATTGGTTTGGAGCAGGATATGCCACCAGTGGGAACTGCGACCTGGGATACTTCTATCTGCACCATTCAAGACCAAATTATCAACCATCAGCTTAGCGAAGATCCACAAAACATATTGGTGCAACAACAGATTCAACAGTATGATGCTGCGATTTATCCAAACAGTGGTTACACACCAGCACCTGATCTCTTAAACCTTCTCCACTGCACTGTGGCTCCAGTGTTCCCTGCAACAGCATCAGTCTTTGGTGATACAGCACTAAGTGGTGGTACCAACTATTTGGATCTTAATGGTGAGTTTACAGGAGTGGCAGCAATTCCTGACAGTGGATTAATGTACACTAGTGATCCAGCATTGCAGTTAGGGTACCATGCTGCCCAGTCTCACGCACTAAAGGATATCTGCCATTCACTGCCGCAAAATTATGGGCTCTTCCCCAGTGAGGATGAAAGAGATGTCATGCTTGGGGTTGGAAGTGTCGGAGGAGATCTTTTTCAGGATATAGATGACAGGCAATTTGATACTGTACTGGAGGGCAGAAGAGGAAAGGGTGAGTTCGGAAAAGGAAAAGGAAAAGCTAACTTTGCGACTGAGAGAGAGAGGAGGGAACAACTCAATGTGAAGTATAAGACGTTAAGAATGCTCTTCCCCAACCCTACCAAGGTTTGTCTTGTTCATCATTTTGCACATTTAGGAGAGTTAATGATTATAGATGTCCAGAATAATCAACTATAGAAGCTAATCACTAGGGTTTGTTCAATGATGCTACATGTACAGAATACTTCATTAATAGAAGCTAACAATTAAAATTTCAGGCCACTTTCCAGTTTTCGTTGGTTTTGTAAAGATAATTGAATTTCTGAATAACTTCACCCATTTATTCTCGGTGTGTTAAGACGCTCAGAAGTGGCAACACCAAAGTACTATGCAGTCCAATAAACCTGTGCTTCATAAAACATCAACAAAAACTCATTCGCAAAACTGTCATCTGTCTGATGTAGATTCAAAGAAACATGTGTTAGATAATATGCTTCTGCTGAACTTTCTGTCAAATAGTTCTTCAAGCTCTGTTGCCACATTATATTCAGGCTGATACTGATATCCTATGGAACATGATTGACATGAAATAGTTGCTCGTCGTGCTGCTCTTTGCAGATACTTTTAGTGGCATACTATTTACCCCATTTATCTTGATCGAGCGTGTTAGTACCTTCTAATTAATTATGAAAGAAAATGAAAGCAATCAATATTTCATATGTATATTGATTTTTTTTCATAAGACAGTATTATTGTCCTCATTGCACTACTCTCCAGCAAAGTATTGACCTCTATAGTGATCTAACCTTAACCGATTAAACAACACTTCCTGATTTACTCAATGAAAACATAAACAATGTGACAGAACCATAAAAATCTAGGTTGCACCTTTTGGGGGTACTGCTCATATATGTTTGATATGGCACTAATGTATTACAGAACTGTTCTCTAGAATGACAGGGCTTCAGTAGTAGGTGATGCCATTGAATACATAGATGAGCTGAATCGAACAGTGAAGGAACTGAAGATCCTAGTGGAACAGAAGTGGCATGGGACTAATAGGAGAAAGATAAGAAAGTTGGATGAAGAGGCGGCTGCTGATGGTGAAAGCTCATCGATGAGGCCAATGAGGGATGAGCAAGACAATCAGCTTGATGGGGCCATAAGAAGCTCATGGGTTCAGAGGAGGTCCAGGGAGTGCCATGTTGATGTTCGCATAGTGGAAAATGAAATAAACATCAAGCTCACAGAAAAGAAGAAGACCAACTCCTCCCTGCTTCATGTTGCAAAGGTTCTTGATGAATTCCATCTTGAGATCATCCATGTAGTTGGAGGGATTATTGGTGATCACTACATATTCATGTTTAACACTAAGGTATTGATAGTATTATTTATTTTAAGTAGCATCAGGAACTCCTTTCCCGATATTGCTGATTGTCATTGACAGTAATATTCCATCATCCACAATAATGCAGGTGACTGAAGGTTCCTCAGTTTATGCTTGTGCAGTGGCAAAGAGGATCCTTCAAGCAGTGGATGCACAACACCAGGCACTTGACATATTCAACTAGGCATTAGCAACCATAGTAACTATTTGAAGAAGTGCCTAGTTTACTACTCTCCCTGGAGAGAGTCGTAATTTTCTTTTCTGTTAGTTCTGTCCGTGAGGAAAGTTATTAGACCAAGCTTGGAGAGAACTTTGCCTTTACCATTAGCTAGCTCAGAAAATCAAAAAAATCTGGCATGCCTTAACTGTTCACTGTTATCACTTATCTAGCTTTACTAGAAATGATTTGACTCTTTGCCTCAGTATTTGTTTCCATCATCTTTTCATCTCATTTCATTTGGAGTTGGCTTCAAAATATAGTAAATCAGCGACAATTAATATGGATCGGAGGGAGTAGAAGATGATGATTTACACATGTCTGCATGGCCTACTATGTTCTCTTTTACAGAAAGTGGCTTAGTGCGTTGCATTCACTGGCATCAGTATCACATCTCATAGGATACTACTACATGCATATGAAAACTTCGCAGAGATCCAAAATCTTTGCAGAACTTTTACAAGCTGGGCCGCTAGGTAAATCGAGTTGCATTGCGCGTGATAATTCGTGCATAGAGGAATATGCCGCCCAATAGTTGTCAAAACCATTGTCTTAGCTACAAGATGAGAAAAACGTACAACGGTATGGTCTTACATTCTTTAGTCCCATGCCATCACAGAGTTAGGCCACGAGCAACACACACGCAACAATGCGAATGTATGACAATCCAACGCTGCGGGGAAGGAGAGATGGCAATAGATCAGCATCCTTACCTCGCACCAATGCCCCTGCGTCCGTGCCAATGCAGCAGATCTGCTCTGCTCGACTCGTGCAATGCCCCGAACACCTCGCGAGCACCGTCCCGCCCCCGCAACGGCAAAGAGCCACAAGCGAATTGCAGCCACGCAGGAACGGCACGAGATGTGATGCCGTCCGTGGCACTCTGCGCCAGACCAGAATCAGATCAGGGGGCTGAACATTTCCAACCTGCAATCATATTCTTGCAAACAACAACATTTTACCGGTGAGATCTGCAGGACCCGGGCGTGCGCCCGCTGCTTGCTTAGGCAGCTCCCGCACCGTCGATGCTGCTCGTGGAACGGCTGCTCGCGTGCAGACGTGCTAGGGCACCAGAGGCTCTCGAGCTACGGGAGGGCACGCCTGTGGTTCAGCGAGGAAGGGGAAGAGGAGTGCAGGAGCACTTACCAGGTGGCAAAAGAAAAGAAACCTGTTAGCCGCAAGCTTCGTCCCCATCCGTCCGCGGACACGGGATCAGTCCGCGAATACAGATGCACAAAACCGCCATCCAACGCTGACTGTATGCATTTTAACAATGACTCAAATTAACCGAACGAAATTCGATCAAACACGATTGAATTTCATATAAATACGATCGGATTTCATCTAAATATGACGGATTTCATTACATTTATATCAACTAAGTGGAGTTTGTCCGGCTAGGTCTAAATGATTGCTGACGCCTGTTCCTTGTGTTCGATCATGAACCAAGAGAACTGAAACTTCACCGTCTCCAGTTTCGCCTGGCGCTCTCCAGCTCCGCCTCCGAAGGCCCAGGAAGTGAATTGTCCACCTTCACATCGCCGCCAAGCGACTAATCAGCCGACGATTTTGAGCCCACCAAGCTTGGCGTCAACGGGAGGAAAGAAGCGGTGGCCTTTCTGGGACCAAAGCAGCGGCGACCTACCATGCACTGCTCTTCCACGCTGTCGACGGCGCCCGCGAACATCTCGACTTCGTGGTCGTCGCGGCGGGGCTCCTAAAATGGCCACAGTATCCGAAAGCGTCCGGACCTGTGCGTGGACCATGATATGGGAGTCGGACATCCAACCATATATACCTCAGAGGCTCAAACGTCGGCATACATTTTAAATGGAATTTGAACAAACTAAAAAAAACACGCAATCATGGTGTTTTTATTTAAATTGGATCACATTCATTACATTTTTGAGACATTTCATTAAACAAAAGCGTCTGAAAGTTAACCTAGTCTATATCTTCGCCGACGTCTGTGCTCCAAGTTCTTGTTGTTTCCCTCTGTGTCCATGTCTGACGAGTCGTGATCCCTAGGAAGTGAAGTTGCGGTCACCAGTGAGGAAGAGTAAGACATGGGACACGGTCTGACCCACATGGGACACGAGGCGCCGCCTGATAACCCACAAGTGTAGGGGATCGCAACAGTTTTCGAGGGTAAAGTATTCAACCTAAATTTATTGATTCGACACAAGGGGAGCCAAAAAATATTCTTAAGTATTAGCTGTTGAGTTGTCAATTCAACCACACCTGAATAATTTAGTATCTGCAGCAAAGTATTTAGTAGCAAAAGTGGTATGATAATAAAGGTAACAGTAGCAAAAGTAATGTTTTGGGGTTTTTGTAGTAGTTGTAACAGTAGCAACGGAAAAGTAAATAAGCGAAGAACAATATGTGCTCGTAGGCAATGGATCAGTGATGCATAATTATGCCGGATGTGATTCCTCATGTAATAGCTATGACATAGGGTGACACAGAACTAGCTCCAATTCATCAATGTAATGTAGGCATGTATTCCGTAAATAGTCATACGTGTTTATGAAAAAGAACTTGCATGACATCTTTTGTCCTACCCTCCCGTGGCAGCGGGGTCCTAGTGGAAACTAAGGGATATTAAGGCCTCCTTTTAATAGAGAACCGGAACAAAGCATTAGCACATAGTGAATACACGAACTCCTTAAACTATGGTCATCACCGAGAAGTATCCCGATTATTGTCACTTCGGGGTTGTCGGATCATAACACATAATAGGTGACTATAGAATTGCAAGATAGGATCAAGAACACACATATATTCATGAAAACATAATAGGTTCAGATCTGAAATCATGGCACTCGGGCCCCAGTGACAAGCATTAAACATAGCAAAGTCATAGCAACATCAATCTCAGAACATAGTGGATACTAGGGATCAAACCCTAACAAAACTAACTTGATTATATGGTAAATCTCATCCAACCCATCACCGTCCAGCAAGCCTACGATGGAATTACTCACGCACGGCGGTGAGCATCATGAAATTGGTGATGGAGGATGGTTGATGATGACGACGGCGACGAATC